GGGGGATTATAAATCACTGATGTACAATGTTTTACGTTCCCTTCTCTGACCTGGAATAACAATCCTATCAAAACAAGGTGGAGGCAAATCAGATGTTTCTGTTCTAACCCATAAAAACCCCAATGATTGCTTCGGAGGTGTTACCAACAAAGAAGATTCCCAGCCCATGTAAAAGATTAAGTTCTAAATCAGCCACCATGACAGGCCTCAGTCCTTATTCATTAGTAAGTACACTAATGCCTACTACCTCTAATGGGCCACGTGAGGCCGAATGCACAGGTGATATTCAAACCCCCTGTGAGGACAAGCCTTTTAGACTGTGTTGCAATCAAGTTGCACCAGGTTGCATGATAATTGCACTCTCTGTTGCTGTCAACTATTTGTCGCGTGATTAAATGCATCACAAAACCACAACTGTGTCACAGCCGGGCCGGTTGGAAAAAAATAAAATAAAAGGTTCATCATATAACCAACTTAAAGCTTAATTATAGACACACGCGCGCTCGGGTGTTTGTGAACCGTCAGCGCTTCGTGCAGTCACACCGGGCTACATCTTCATTAGCCACTCAGCTGTGTAATTAGCCCTTTTAGCAGCCTTTGGTTAAGCCACTCATTTAAGCAAAAAAAAAAGGGGGCTAATTGCAGGTCCGGATGCCTGGTGTGTGGTGCCGTGTGCACAACACAGCCCTAGAGACACACCTGCTCTGTCTGCAGCTGTGAATGCCTTTGTGAGAGAGTGTGTGTGTTTGCCATACCTAGGTTATGCCTTTTGCTCTTGGCGTGTTCGTGGATGTGTTTTTTGGCAAAGCAGGCGAAGAAGACGCAGTAGAGGCAGGAGTGGAGTCTGTTGAGGTGGGCGCCGCACATGTGGCAGATACACGACTTGGCCTGAGAAGAAAGAAAGAGAGGGGGGGGTGACAGGAAACGGAGAGGGGATGAGGAGAACAGAGAGACAGTGGAAATGATTATGGGAATTGTTGCGCCAAACGCACAATACCCTAAGGCACCACGTATTGAAATGGCCATGCAACCACAGCAGTTAACTACTGTATGTCACATGGGCGTACCGGCAGGTCCGACCTGTGTAGAAAGTTGTGGAGGATGCAACTCAAAATGTCAAATGTCTCTGGAACTACAATATAATGAAATGCAATCATATCTAATAGGGCCAACCCCCGATATGGCTCCATAGCTATTGGCCTCAGCTGCTATCTAAACAATATTATTTTCTATCCAGTGTTATGTGTCAACCTAAACTGTGTACGATAATTATCGTGAGTGATTTGATACATGTCCCCTATATATTCTGCTTGATAGTCATGTTGGAAAGGTGAGGGGGGGTTGATGGCAACGGTTCAAAAGCATGCAGATGAGAAGCTGGCGTGCCAACGAGCCAGCCGCATGAATATGAAGAGGTGAGAGGAGATGAGCAATGCGTGGAAGAAGAGAGTAGATGGAAATAGCTATGGAGGGCAACATGTTTGATTGAGTCACGTCCAGAGGACACAAACAGGCAGAGAGGAATAGTTAAAGGCACGGTTCGGATATATATATATATATATTTTTTGAAGTGATGTATGAGGTACCTATCATAGTCAGCGTATTAGTAATTTGATACCACTCTCATGTATGCTACAACCAACACGTGGTTAGCTTAGCTTAGCATAAAGACTGGGAACGGCTAGCTTGGCTCTATCTGAGGGCAACATAATCCGCTCTACCAGCACCTCTGAAGCTCACTGATCAACACATTGCATCTTGCTTGTTTAGTCCACACACAAGGAATAGAAGCTGCAAAAACAGGCTAGCTGTTTCCCCCAGTTCCCTGCCTTTGTGCTAAGCTAAGCTAACCATCCCCTGGCTGTAGCTTCATATTTTACCGGAGCACGATCAATCTTCTCATCTAACTCTCAGCAAGAAAGCAGATGTGTGTATTTAACAATTAACAATTCCTTTAACCATATTCAGATAATATTCATGTTTACTAATAAAAATTAAAAAAAACACTCTGTTGCTATTTATTTTAGCATTTGCGCAGCATGCCAGACTAAACGTGGACATAGATGCAAAATGGAAAAAGAAGAAAACCGAAACAGAGATTTTTATTCCAGTCACACGCACCCCTCCGTGCATAAGCGCTTAGATAGCACATGAATTATGAAAAGGCATCAATATGCAACAACCGTTCCTCACTCAGTCTCCCAACTGTCAGTGTGTATCTCTCTGGTCCCCGAGAGAACACTGTATTCATGGAGAAATTAGTGTCCATCAACACATCCTTACATCCTCTGCTGCCAGCAAGAGTCCGAGTACACGCATGGAGTACTTATGGACATGCAGCAGTTCTGCTTGAGCACACCGGCCATGTAGTAAACTAAAAGTAAGGCCCTGTGACAGCCCCGGCTCTGTTTGTGTCATATATTTCTGCGAGCGCTGTGATGACGGTGACAACCCATCTGCCGGCAGGATGTTATGGAAGAGGAGCAGCAGAAGGTAATGGGCTGGAAAGATCCCGGTTAGAAGTGTAAGTGAGGACATTATCCCCACTGTCAGCCGGACGCAACACCCTCCGTCTCGCCCATTGAAGGCGCGGGCCTGCCCCGCATCCACAGGAGGGGAATTAAAGTGCCAGCCCCTCCTAAACAAAAAAGGTATTTTTACCAAATACTGTATAGTCCTGACAAAAATAGGATACCACTGTAGGAGATGGGAAGGACCTAACAATTCAAAATAAAAGTGATGGATATAGGACAATTACAGCACATGAATGTAAGGTGATCAAAGGTGCAATGTTCAGTACCTGGACAAACAAACAAAAACAAATGCAGGGATCTTGGATGTGCCATTGACAAGCCCTCGGGGCAGCTCTACTTCTTTATTCTCTGGACTGGGGGGCAAGTTGTACGACAAGAAAGTACGGGCCGGACCTCGCTGGTTGGCAGTCAATGTGGTCGGCTGCATTGCAGCACAATACACAGACGTATTTGGCACAACGTCAAAACGGTTACTTCTTCTCACTCTTTTGATATTAGTTGATTTTTTTTATGTCGAAAACAAATATTCTTGCCAGATATTACACGTTGCACCTTTAACCTAAGTCATGTTACATGCTTATTCTGCAATGACTCCATTTGGAGGCAGCAGTCGTGGTGCAGGCTAACAGCAGACAGTCTTTACAGGACTTACAGAGGGAAAGTAGTGCCGATTGGAATGGGAATGATTCACATGATTTAACACGTCTTTGGTCGTATTTTGTGGTTGCTTTGGTGCACACATACACAAGTGAACCCCCTACTGTTTGATGGAGTGGGACTATTCGCACATGAAACATGAAGATGGGTAACTAAGCATTTCCCTGTGGAGATCTGAACGCATTACCCTGCGAGGCTCCGGTTACTGTTCCCCACTGCGGCGTCTTCAGAAAAACACGTTGGTTCCGCGGTGGACCGCTAAAAATCCAACGCGGCGGTCATTCCCGTGGGATCAGACGCCTCTGTGATCGACCAGAGAGTGGAGCCTGAGAGTTCTCGAGGGGAACGAATGCTTAAAATTCAATGCGTGTCCGAAGGTCAGTCGGATGCAGACGGAGAGTCAATGGTGACCATTTGAGGACGACACCAGACGTAGCCCAACGGTCAGCACGGAGTGGAGAGAGAATGACGATATGTCTCCTTTAAAATTATGGGAGAAAACTGTCAGATGAATTTATTTATTTCCCCCTCGGTGTAGTGAACCAGAGGGGGGGGGGGTCGGATAGTGGAAGCAGCTACATTAGAAGATGGGTTAACCTGTGGCATTCCCCCTGAGGCTAATAATGCATAATGAGCTTTGCTTCCATACTAACACAAACAAATGGACGCATATGCTGGGAGCTGAGGTTAGACTGGTGAAAAAGGACATGGGACTACTGAATGTGATGGAAAACCTCACCAAAACTATCTGTAACCCTGATCTGCAGAGACATTTAGAGGAAGTCTCCCATCGAATGTGCTTCCTGTCAGACGTATGCTCACATCGTTGTGAAATACTGAGCCACGATCAATACAAATGTAGCACCACACCAGGAGGAGACCCTGCAAATATTTAACACCATTTATTTCAGTAAGCATGCCTCCTGGACTACCAACTCCCACTGATCCCACGGCAGATGACAGGGGACGGGGAGTCGTCCCAGAGCATATTAGAGTGCAGGATGCATGCAGGCAGCCAAGCGCACACACACATTAAAGATACAAGCACAACATCTGCTAATAATGTGCACATCTGCTCTGTATCCACGCGTTTTGTGGATCTTTGCAATTTTTATGACTCAATAAAAATGTGCTTTCTTCTCGTCAGAAAACACAAACTGTACCAATGTGAAAAGACAGGCTGGTGTGACACGCACGCGCACACACATTGCTTTACAAGTGAAACCGTATTGATCCTGTCACGCAGTGCAGAGATGGCAGTGGTGCATCTGTCTGTTTTCGCTGCTTGGGGGGTTTGCAGGATAACAGGTTGAGGTTACGCTTAGTTGATTTAAATCAATTAAATCCCCCCCCGAGGAAATACCACCGTGAAATGTTGACCTGCGGTGCGCCTGTGGGAGGAAGTGGGGCCACTGCAGGCGCAGGGCCAACGCGAACAGATGCACATCAGCTCTCTGATGCGGTATCTTCGTTTGCACTCAGCTTAACGTCCCGGCCGGCCGTGCGGGGTTCACCGGTTGATATGCTGGAAAGTTTGCTTCAGTTTCGGCTGCTGTGGCGAGCTTGTCATGTGTTGTTTTTTTTAGGCTAAATACTGAGGAGAAACTGCACTGTGAGCGGAGTTAGTATTTGACTGAGACCAAACTACTTCGGCATTCAAAGTGTCGGGTGTTTGTGTTGTTTTTGGAAGGGCGGGGAACTGTCCGCGCACGGGACAGCTCGGCTCACACACACACAAACACACACAGTCTGGCGTACGTTAGGTTTAGGTCCCAGGGTTCCGTCTGTCACTTGTTACCTTGCGTTTTCTGGTCTCGGCTGAACCGCTCCACACGAAACACTGATAAATGACCCTCAGGTTCTGCTTCCAGTTGTCCACTTTGAAGCCGCTGACATGGGGGCAGCCTGCGGGACTCATGGTGGTACCACAACACCCGGCTTTACTATCCTCTGGGCGATGAAACCTGTTCAAATCCCTCACCGCAGACCCAGTCGAAACGGGCTGGCTGGCTAGCTTGCCAGGTTCGTTATCCACCGATTGCTGCGTTCTGGCTAAGTGGACATGGCTGCAGTCACGGAGACACGCGCAGTAGCAAACATCAATACGACTTATCCAATATTGCTCTATTCCAAATAAAATAACATTTACTCATTATATCCACAGTGGCGCTGTATATGGTAGCTCTTGACATTCGCTGAATTACATGTTAGCAAGCTGGCTAAAGTTGGTTAGCACTGGAATTTCAACAGTAGCTTACACGGCGAGTGTCGTGAAGACCCACCTCATTCATAACGGTGGACCAATGAGGAGCGGGTGCTGCGCATGATTGGCGTGTGCCAACTTTCTTTTTTGCAATTAAGTTCCGCCTCTATGAAGTGGGTGCTGCGTCGTGATTGGTGCAATTTTTCCGGCAAACCACATCCGCCTGTAAGAGGACGGTCATTGGCTGAAACATAAATGGCTTCATTGTATCAATCAGGTACGTTGAGGTTATAATGAGGCAATAAAGAGTCGATGGAAATTCAAATTCACCTCACACGTCGAGCCAAAGGGATGAGAATATGTTCACAAAGGCATGAAACGCAGAACTATATTCTTAAACAATTTATTAACAGATCCACAATCGCAAAGCTCAGGCTCCCAAATGACATGACAGTTTGGTTTCATCTGTTGACCTCACCTCTTGTATTAACAAGCTGTCAAAACGGTTCTCTATACAGTGCTCTAGCGACCTCTAGTGGATCTAACCTAAAAAAACAAAAAAGGAAAGGAAAAAAACAAAACAACAAAAAAAACAAAAAAACAGTGCACCTCCATTGTGCCGAGTTTGGTCAAGGGCATGTCCATGTGTACAGATTTGCTATTGATGATATCTACATTCTAACCAAAGGGTGTGAGAGGGACACACGTTCATATCAGTCGTTACAATTGTAGAACCGGTCAGATTTATTCCTCGTCAGCCATCGGTGTTTTGCCTCATGTAATGCCCTCTAGTTACAGCCATCATGCAGCAGAACCAATACAAACAGTGAGATTATTCACACATACGTTTGGAACAAATAAGTCCAGTTTTTATTTTTGTGGTTTCTGTTAATGTAGCAGTGGCGCTCCAACCTGAACATTGATAAATAAAACACTGACAAAATTGTAATCTTTTTTTTTTTTCTTTCCTTTTTCTGTAAGGACCATTTGTTATCCTCAAGACACTGTGAAGAAAGAATAACCAAATTTATCATCATTCCACACAATTAGATTTTCCTTGACCAAAGTCCTTATGCAATAGAATGTTTGTTTGTTTTCCTCTTTAAAAAAAATCCAACTCATCCTGGGAAGAACGTGTTGGGTGGCTGCAGCGTTCTCTCCCTGTCCAAGGCCCCTCAGGAATAACTTGACGTTTTGCTACCAACATCGTCCTCCTGCGATCCCATACTCTGAAACACACAAAGGGCCACATGTTGACCACACGACAACTCGAAAAAAAAAACGGCTCCTGACACATTCCCATAAACAACGGCTGATAGTTTTGTAATCTCTTGTGCCTTTTCATTGAAGCAGATCACAACAAAACCCTGTAAGTCAGAACTCTAGACATCTCCTAGTTGTTTAAGTGACGACTCTTCCGTTGCATTATTGTATCATTTATTCTTACTTTAAATTGAATTCTACCTCGTGAAAAGCATCTTTGCACCGTGAATAAATTATATAAATCCTGCACTGAGGCACAACGGCATTCACAAGGGGAGATTTTACTAAGAAACTACAAAACATAATATATGCATGCATTTGTAAAAAAAATTAAAAAAAGTCAAAATAGAAGAAAAAAAAACTATATTTATAGATTTGATTGCCTCACCTTCTGCACAAATTGTGGGTTTACTGTGATTTCTTGATCCATAGACTTTAGTTTCTCATCCAGCTCTATACATTTCAACATCTGAAAGGAGAACAGAAGACATAGCTTCACTGTACAAGCATATTTTCAGGGTTCGTACATGTCATTATGATGGGACTTCATGCAAAGCAAGACAGCACGGTAAACAGAGACATGCTCACCTCTTGGTCAATTTTGTGGAGCATTGCTGGGTTGTTGTATTTTTCGGGGTTGTCGTGGAAGCAGACCATGCCGTCCTTTTGGTTAATGCTAGCGTAGATCTCACCATCTTCAATCTGCACAGGAGCACAAGGGGGAGCGTGATGAAAACTAAACCGGAGGATCTCTAGTGTGGACCAACAGCAAACTGCTGTTTGGTAGAAAGTCAGAGACTAAAACTTTTGATCCTACCAGGAATTAGATTAAAGATAGATAAATATGTTCTGTGAAGCGGATCAAATACTAACTAACATATTGTGTACAAGATCTCCTGTTGGAAAATAACACATCATATATCATAATATACCACCATGTATTAGCATGCTCAATGTGCAGAGACAGAAACATGTATTTGGATTTTCTGGACCAACTCACCATGTGTAAGACATATTTCTCTGCTTCCAGTGGGCCCGACAGCTGCACTCGACTCGCCATGTCTTGCAAAGACAGCGTCAGAAAGGTCTGCAGGAGGCAAAGAAAACAGAACTTGATATTAAAAGAGATTTTAGAGATTATATATCACCTTTCTGAGCAAGGTTACAAAATGCTTTTCAGAAAAAAAGCAGATAAGATAGCAAGGTCTTGCTTCACATCTGTCTTGCTCAGCTTTCCAAAACATGATTTAACAGCTGGCCATCAGATGTCTCCGTCCGCCTTCACTCGCCCATGTCTTTGGGACGTTTCCCGTCATTTGGATGATTGTCACTTCTAATGACGTGATGCAGCAGAGGAGGATGGAGACTTTTCCAGAAGCTTCGGATCAGAGTTTAAAAAGGTGTCGCTCTCGGGTGGCCAGATAAGAGTGAACCAAACGGCTACGTGCTTCAGAATTTGAGAAAACCAACTTAAAAGCACGGCGTGATTTAAATACACTACGATACTCGTTTGCTTAACCCAAATCTACAGCTGTTCTACGCTACAGTTCAAACCCCATGAAGAAGCGAGTACAGGAGGAATGTCGAGGAACACACACGGCCACCTTCGTTAGCCTCTGGATGTTCTTCTTGTAGAGCGAGGAGAGGCACTGCTTGACCAGGCCCGTGTTGTTGTCTCTCGTGAAGGTCTCGCTGTGTTTGTTGACCACGCCGCGCAACTCGGCCGGGTTGTTGGTGGTGTAAATCTGAGCCATCTCGTGGTACGCGTTGCTCAGGGGCTGAGGGCGGCGACGAGAGAGAGAAACAAAAGAGAGGAGAGGAGAGAGAAAACCAATTACTCCATAGCACAACAAGGGATCAACTGCATGAGCACACACTGCGTTCACGTAGCAATCAACTCAATGATTAAGTCACTTAAGTCTCCTCGTTGCCTTCAGAGTGGAAATGACGTTGCTCATTGATAATGAAAATAGGCGACTGCTGCTTTCTGGACTCGTTACATGAAACCTAGATAACCAGCAAAGGGCTGTGCATTACAGCACAACCTTGTGATTTACACCCCTCAAGCTTACCCTTATTGATATGAATATGGTGGACAAAATAATAGAGACGCCTGCCAGTACAATGCAACACAACATTACCACGAACGACATCCTCCTCAATGACTACACTGAACATCAAAAACAACAGGACTGCTGTACTAGACTGCATTCATGTTCATTAGGTGTAGACTTCGTGACTCGCTCTTTATTCTAACAAAGTTATAGATTGGAATGAGGTTCCTTAAATATCTGCATGTGTAAATGTAAGCGCTGTGCCAGAACAGCAAAGCCCCAACACTACTCATTCAATCTTGTCCTTACCTTGATGAACCTCCCCACTATTTGGGAGGTGTATTTGGGCAGTGGCTGCACTTTGCCGTGGAGAATGAGGGACACCAGGATGTACTTCTTATAGGCTTCCAACATGATGTGGCTCACCGCCATGGCTGGAGTGGTTATTGCCTTACAAGAGAACACAGGTGATCATTGAAATACATGTCAGCACATTCACTCGAGTGTGTATTCGAAGTATTTCAAGAAGTGCGAGAGTTACCTGTTCATAAAAATACAGCGCTCTTTCGAAGTTTTTGAGGCCCGTGTAGATCATGCCACCGTAGTAGTAGTAACATAAAAAGGGCTTTGCGTCGTAAGCTCCGTTCTCCTTACAGATGTCCATCATGTCCAACTCCAAGAAGGGCAGGGCGGGCTTGAAGCACTTCGCTAACAAGCACAGCTGCAAGGAGACAGGTACGTAGTGAGGACAACGTAGAGAGTCACACGTGCTGAGACCAAGCCCGTGTTTGAATCATTCAACTAGCGTGAGATGGAAAACATTTAAGAGGACCGGCATAACGTCGACCGCAAATAATGTAGCTAAGTGGACCGAGTTTAGCAGCTGTTAAATCACTGGGCCATTTAGGGTTACAGCCATGCGACTCACCTGACACAGGTCTGCATGAACTGAGGTAAGTTGGTTTGTGTTCATCTGCATTTTGTCTATTGCCTGTTTAAGGACGACAACACCCCTCAATGGCTGCCGGAGAAGGAAGAACATATTCAGTTAGTTATTCATCCGGAGCGTTCCTGAGACCGGTCTAGGCCTGCAACCGCACTTTAAAATGCATTTAAATATTTAGATCAAGGCGGGAAAGAGGCAAACATGCTACTCCTGGATGCGGAGACTCTGCGGCGTACAAGCAGTATGGGGACTCATTTGGGACTCTTGTCGGACAGCGACGACAATGAAGATTAAAATCATAATTTTTCTGTCACACGTGGGAAATTGCTTTGGCAACAAAGTGCATAAAACATTAATAATAGTTTCACTCGCTCACGGGCTACATCGCCAAGAAATGTTACACACAATTTATGGACATGTTGGCGAGGACGAGTCACAGTAACATCACGGAAAGCTCAAAAACATTACAAAATACACCAAAGACCAACACTAACACTCGTATTCAGGTGGCTTTCTCTATTAGACAACATGGACCAGAGTGACATCATTCTGCTGCTAATGTGCTGAGCGGCTGATGCAGCGTAGGGGCAATCTGAAGGTGTGTGTTTAGCTTTGGGAGCTAGTAGTAGTGCTCTGTCAATGAATACACGCTATGTTCAACTGTGCATGTGGTATTTGATGGAATCAAATAGACAGCTCATGAATAAATAAACTCTTATTTGTCTTCGGTATTCTCAAATTATATCTAAACTGTTCAGTGTTCAAGGGTCAAGAATGAAAACAAAGTGAGCGAACATAACAGCATCATAAATGGCATCATCTCTGTAGAAGTAACCACTGAAGAAAATGCCTTTTTATGGTGACTTAAGATTTCTCTGTGTCATATTTCATCCAGCACTGGGTTTTTACATTTAATACACTAAATTAGTATTAAAAAAAAAAAAAAATTCCACTTGACTGTCAAACATCAACAATTACTGCTGATTCATTTGAGGTGTAGAAAATATAAAACTCTGTATTGATAACTAGTTGGGCAATTTCACTCCCACCGAAGTCAGAATCAACAGTCTTACCTGTTTCCGCTCTACAAGGGCGTTTGTCAACTGGTGGCAGAGACCAGCAACTGTGAGAGGAAACAGAGGGGAAGGAAGTCATTGATTCACTCTTCAGCTGGTTAGTTAAGTCTAACACGCTGCTCACGAGTCCAAGATGCATCTACGCTTCACTGAAAGTTATGCATCACAAACATATTCCCAGACCCACGCAATGTTGGAACAATGCAGCATGTTCTTCATTTTGATTGATACTAAAAAAACATGTTAGTGGCTGCCAGCGGACACAGCATAGTAAAGTATGTGCATGAGAAAGAGAGGGCATAACCGTGCATATTTTCGTGGGGTACATGCTCTCAACTGATCGGCGTAGAAATCTGTTTTTGTTTCAGCTAATAACTGGTAAAACATAACCGCCACCAGCGGAACAGAAACATGCTTCCTAAGCGTCTAGGAGTGAGAGGTTTGGTTAGTCTTGACTTACAAGTGTCTGTTGCATATCTAATGTGCTCGCCGTTGCAAGTACTGATGAAGAGCTGGACTTGGGAGAAGAGTGTCTCAAAGTCAGGGATGTTTGGCATTGAGAACTTCACAAATCTGTAAGGACGGAGAAGGAGGTGAGCACAAACGTTTCAGAGAGCCAAGGAGACCTTAATACAGCTTTGATGTTTGTGATGCAGAGGGGAATGCACGGCATTCAGTGTTCTGTTATAGTAAACTGTTATAGTAAAACTAAGCATTGCCAGTTCTTGATTCACAAAATACTCACTTTCTTTGTTACAATGTTAGTTCAGGCCTACATTATTGGTTGTACATGACACAGGTAGCTTTTAGCTGCATTGTGTCTACGTCAAATTTGCAATGCTATCTGCAACAGACAAGTTATAATAATAAAAAAACATAATAAGACTTAGAAGAAGTAAGATGGCCCCCTTTATTCAAGATGCAAATACTGGATCATGTATGCGTTTGGATTTAACCCAGATTCTTAACCTAAAAACTGGCACCAAAGTTGTGTTCCCCATGATCTGTATCTTTCTCCAAGGCTCAACCACCTCTATCCTCGTAAAAATACAATATGACCTTCAACAGACACAACAACATAACAGAATCTATTGACCCAATTCAGAAATAAATGGAGCAGGAACAAGCAGGAGAGTAGAGAAACTCATGACTGGACAGCACTGAATTTAAAAGGCAAACAAGGGAAAAAAAAAACAAGAATAAAAACAAACAGCAGCAGACTTTAATATACATGAAGAAAGAGTTCTTGAAAGGTGATAACAGTGATGGAAAGAATTAGGATGGAGAAGGCTACTTACAGCACAGCCAGCACGCCTAGGGAGTGCTCCTGGATGTCCAGGGCCCCCAGCACTGTATCCAGGTGGGACAGGTTTTTGGCCAGCAGCTCCCCACTCTTGTTGATCAACTCACACAGCTGAGTCATCTGGCCTGGGGGGGGGGGGGGGGGGAAGGGTCAGGAGAACAGAGAGAGATCTATTCACTTTGGACCCTCTTGCATGGTCATGTCGATCTTTAGGACACACATCTCATATCTAAGACAGTTTATTTCGCAATGCCAGATGCAGATGCCTTTTAAAGACTATTTTTTAGGCCTGATTCATGTCTACAAATTAAATTACATTGTTATAATGAAAATGAATGTCATTAAATGTCAAATGTTTTGTCACATGTGGCGGGACACGAGAGGGATTTATTCACAAAGATGTAACGGCACCACTGAAAACTAGAAATGGCATTGCAACATTCCCGCGATCTGTCGTTGTAAAAGACGAGGTTAACTTAATAAAATCCACAAAGGAGTAGACAGCAAGACTTTTCCCGCAAGTGTGCGAAGGCATTTTCTTCATTGTTTTAGATGTCGAGTTAATGATAAAAATCGCAATTTTCTAGTCTACGACTGTCAAAGAGCTATTCTTCACAAATGTAGAAAACGAATTGACGTATAAAATGATTTACAAACATCGTGCAGGGGCTTAGTATTTCAATATAAATAGGCTGGTCAAGTGTCCTGTCAAGGCCTTGCAAGAGGTAATTAAAGTGTGATTGACGGATGACTTTAAACAAATAGTATTCGCAAATTCGGATTGCCAGCCAATCATGTGGAGGCTAGGGCGGGACTACCGGTAGGCAGTCCTGATAAATTATTTTCTAGATCAAAAACAAAAAGTATGATTTTGACATTTTGCTTGATGAACCACCAAGTTCGCGGCTATCCTAGGCATCCCTGTGTGCTAACGCATCTTTTGGTGGTACTTTACAGAACTCCCGCAGCCAGAGAAAGTCATTTTTGCGGTGTGTTTACATGATAAAGCAAAAAGAGGGCTCGGACCAGTTTGGCAGCCTAGCTATCGGCAAGGCATTGGATAGCATATGCTGGCTAGCTAGCTAACACTTCCCACTCGAATGAGTTTAGCAAGCCTACCTTGAGCGGAGAGCTGCCGCACATTGTTCACAAACTGCTCCAAGGCTGAAGCCATTATTTCTTGGGTCCAAAGTGCAGGTAATTTGCACTGTTTTTCATTCAAACGTCAGAAACAACTCCGTCCGGAATGAGACAGGGGGCCACACAACCGCCACTGAGGTAAAGCTATCGCGAGATCATAAAATCTGAACAGACTACAACGAGATCTACGAACCGACCGTTTGATTCTTAAAGGGACAGACACACGATTTGCTTAAAGTATTGCAGTACTGAATCACATTTTTGATATTATTATTTTTCTTTTAAGGAATTTGTAACCTATTGTTCTTGTCTTATGTGGGACTCAAGGTGCTGCAGTTGTCTAATTCTTACTACAGTTCTCCCTTTAGAGAAAGGGAAAACACAGGAACTGACGTACATTTGACCGTGTTTTTAACAAAGATGTTATAAGTTGTAAGAGCTCCAGCCTAACAGAATTTAAAATACCAAGACAGTCTGCCGCACTTGCAGTTTTGAGGTTCCTTCATCTTATGTGTAACTGTTGAGGAAATTAAATGCATTAAGTTGAGAAGTCCTGACAGCTAATTTAAATTAAGTAGATAATAACCACTAACATCACACTTATTCATTGCGGCTTAAGGCCTTTGCTATTAATTCAGCCTTTCAATATGGGAGCCTATTAGGTTCTTCACCTTCATCAACTTAATATGAATTTGGTTATCTTTGATGATACTTACTGCATACTTAATGTACAATGATATTTTGTTATTGCTGTACCACCATATATTCCATTAGCGTAGTTTTTACTGTAATGTGGTGGAGTGCACTGTAAATTGTGATTTGTGGCAAATGCCTGAAACCGATTTACAATCTCAGAGGGAGAGCAAAAGAGACAAAAAAAACACAGCTCAAATATATAAAAAATAAACATTTACTTTGGCAAATTTTCAAACTTCATGCATTTTATGTACAAGGGACGGGTCCCCAAAAGCGTCACTAGACAGCTTTTTTTAGAATAGGCTATTATTTGTCACATGCAGGCAGAAATAACCTCCACCTATTATTATTATTATTATTATTATTATAATAACAACAACAATAATCATAATATTAATATAATTATTGGTAGTAAAGCGTTTTCTTTCTTTCTTTTTCTAAATATGCAATATTGTGTCACTGCAAATTGTGCCACACATGGCTTTCATACAAAACAACGGAGTGAGCCATCTCCCTCTTTTAAACTATATTTGCTGAGGGCAAGCTTGTTGTACAGTTTGTTCTCGCTGCTAAGCTTTTCTCTCATTGGTGCCGCAGTACCAGTGGTGTACTACCCACTGCTCAAGTAGCTCCAACAGCTGGATGTTACAGATGCTGTGAGTTTGAGAAAGGCTTTGAGTAGCCCGGGGGGCGGTCAATACACACTGACAACCGACGCAAACAGCTCCCATTACACTGTGTCCAAAGGCATGTCACATTTGACCCGTCTGCTGCTGTGCGGCTAGCCGGTCAGCTAAGGTTAGCCACCGACTGTTAGCTCTGGCGGCTGACTGCATCAATAAAGTCGAGCTGACAAAACATTTCACGAAAAGACAAAATAACAACACAGCCAATGTCACGTGGTGAAAACTGCCGCAGTATTTAGGAAACTTTGGACTCCCATGCGGACTTCATCCACTGTTTCCGTCGTCGTCTGGAGAGGGTTAACGGTAGCGACAGCCGCTCGGTTGAGAGTCACACAATGTTGCTGTTTAGCACCGCACGCCTACTCGGAAGAGGGAAACCCGTGCTCCGTGACCGCTTTACGAGGATTTGCGTAAACATGTCGTCCTCCTCTCACTCGGGTAAGAGACTGCGGGTTCTGGTCGACATGGACGGGGTGCTGGCGGACTTCGAGGGGGGCTTCTTGAAGAAGTACCGGGCCCGGTACCCGGACGATCCCCACATCAGCCTGGATGACAGGAGAGGGTTCTGGGTGTCAGCGCAGTACGGGCAGCTGAGGAGTGACCTGTGTGTCAGTGACATATATATATATATATATACGCGTGTTGTGTGTGTGGTCATGTTATGGTTCATGGAAGCCACAGCTGCACAGAGCCAGAGGTCCACGAGCTGGTTCCCCAGGGTCCCCTGTAAAGTAGTTAAATTTAACAGTATGTAATTAATATATCACATACACAGAGGTCTCACTCTGTGGAGTTTGCAGTTGAAGCTTGTAGTTCAACCACTATTTTTATATTTTGTTTATGAATTTCATTCAATATCTGAGGGGACAGATAGCCTCACATTATCTTATCCCATACAAAAAAAAACCTACATATTGAATCATTAAAAAAAATCTCTGAAGACATGTTTTTTTTCTGTAAAAGAAAGACATTAAAAGCTACTTAGAATATCTCTAAAATGTCAGGAAGTCGTGAACTACGACTGGAGTACGAGGTCCATGTTGAACTTGAACACACATGAAGAAATAGACCACAATTATGTTTTTCTCAGTTCCTGCTTTGCTATTATCTAAACACCCTTCAGAGCACATGTCCACTCACGTGGATACACGCACACACCTTATCAATGTTCATTGATACTAAGCCGTGTGCTGTTTGTTTTTACCTCCAGGAGAAAGCCATCAGTATCTGGGAGTCCAAGAACTTCTTCGTAGAGCTGGAGCCGCTGCCAGGAGGAGTGGAGGCGGTCAAAGAGATGGCCAAGATGGATGAGTAGGTTTTTGAAGATGTGGGTTCACTTGCAAAAATATATCAACTGGTTTGTAAAAGCAACATGTGACAATAGACATGTTTCTGAGCAACTTCATGGTGAGATGTGTGAAACCACTGAGATCCTAAAGGGGGGGGGGGGGGGTCAACATGAGGAGATTGTGCCTGTGTTTGCCATTTCCGGGAGGGTTCTCAGAGGCACACGACACAGAGGAATAACGCCTAAAAATAGCCGTCATATTCATGAAACTGCATGTTTACATTTCCTCTCCTGGTGGAAATGAATGGCTTTTTTTTTTTTTTTTTTTTTGCCACCAGCTCATCAATGAGTTTTCTTATCAGGGAAATCTGCCGTATGGTGTCATCTCATATTTCTCACTTTGTTTTTCCTTCCAGAGAGGGGCCCACTGCCCGACTCCAACAAAGCTATTCCTTCCATCTGTCTGTCAGATACAAGCGTCTGTAAACATGTTGATATTGTTTTCCCTTCCTTTCTGCAGCACAGATGTCTTTATTTGCACCAGCCCCATAAAACATTACCAACACTGCCCGTATGAGAAGGTAGGCCCTCTGCAAATCAACATGTATTCTGTTCCCTTTGGACACTACTCCTTTCCTTTCCTTTTTCTGATTAGATCTCATTTGTCGTGTGTGTGTGTGTGTGTGTGTGTGTGTTTGTCCAGTATGCCTGGGTAGAGAAGCATCTGGGTCATGACTTTCTGGAGCAGGTCATCCTGACCAGAGACAAAACGGTGATCAGCGGAGACCTCCTCATAGACGACAAGCCTGACATTCTGGGTGAGGACTGTATCTGCGTTTTAAGCTTGTAATGCAACAACAACAAGGCCTGCTGATTGGAATTAACATAGTCTGCAATAATATTACCCTGTTTGATATTGATGACAATGCAACTCCCAGATCAATAACTGAACATTTGAAAAGGAAGAAAGAGAGAAGCAAGTTAGAACATCTGAAAGGGAGAGAGGATTGTATAACCCTGTTCCTGTAATGTCACGTGGGTGTTGTGATTATTTGCGTGCGTCTTCTTCGGCGCCTCTTTCACACCTTTTAAAGACAGCTGCCGCAGCGTGCGCACCGTTAGTCAGGGCCTGCGGGGGTTAGTCTGAAACAGTGGTGTGTACACGCGGTGAAACATGCATGGTTGTCGGTAACGTGTCGTTGTACGTGTGTCCCCTTCCGATCAGGCGTGGAGCCCAAACCGACGTGGGAGCACATCCTGTTCACCGCCTGCCACAACAAGCATCTTTCCGACAGCCCCTCCCGGAGACGGCTCCTGTCTTGGGCGGACGACTGGAGGGCCATCCTGGACGGCAAAAGGCAGTGAGGGAACTCCCATGAGCCCCCCGGCCCCCTACCATCACCACACCGAGGCTCGGAGGGAAACGCTGACCTGCAGAGGCGGCGCCAGAATTCATTTCCGAAAAAAAGAGAGTTGGGTAAAATATTCAGAGGGGAAATGATCAGCCAAATTAACAATAACACACAAGGTTGGATGTTTCACACACTTGTTGCACTCTGCCGGGAGAAGACGTTCACTTGTCTGACCACAAGGGGGCGCCCCGATACCGAGTGTGAAGTGAGCCGCCAATCCACCGGTCCCACTGAAGAAACTGACAACAAAACATTGAATTCAAAATGGACACGTGGTAAGTCTAAAAGGCAGATTGGAGAGCGGCTCCGTGTCTGCATACTGTATCTTTTGACTGCGGACATTTCTCTTCAACATCAGACATTTTTATTTCTGAGACACATGGGTCTTCTCTGCAAAAGAGCAGATATGGTGTTTTTTTTAAAAAACCAATTCACAAAATGTGTGCTGCATATGTTTAAGATATTAAAGTAGGAGAAGATTAGTTTATTGGGTGCTACATCTTGTTTTTATGTGCTCTACTTTCACACAGACTGTCAAACTATTTATTTTGAAAAAAAAAACATATTGTATAAATTTCTTCTCAAACTTTAGCAATTTACCGATTTGTAAATACACTGAAATGACAAAGTAATAGTACCTCATAATAAACAGAAGCCAATACACGACACTAGCGTCTGTGTTTTTTAAATACATTTTGGCTGAATAGAATACATACATTATGTCGTCGAGTCAAAAGAGCCACGAAACTGCATTTGTCTGTTTCAATCCAAGAAAGTATTCTGGTACGAATGATGTGGAAAGTGCACTCGCACTCAGTTGCATTGTTCTGCTTCATGGTTCATCAAGTGAATACACACTGCGAGTACGTTTTAGTTCACTTTGGCTATTTGTGGCAGGGTCCGTTACAAGTTTGCCTGTTGCTGCTAATGTGCTTTTTGGGAACAGAGCGGTGGATGCTGGGCATGTGTTATGGCTGATGCACTTAGTGCTGAAGTGTCATTGTGCCTGGTCTTAAAATGCTTCTTTCTGTCCATGGGTGGTGTGTGTCTCATTCCACCTCGCTTTCAAAGAATAACAGTATGACCGATGTGCTCTTAGTGGTCCTTTTTATTTTTTTCATTAAATAGCACATGGAACTGGCTACTAGAATACGTTTTTCTTCCATTTTTGTTTTTTAGAGAGAACAGGACTTGTTATAGAGAGAGAGGACCGGACACGTACGGTTGGTTGACTTGGCAGCCCGTCGCATTGTCGCTCGTGGTGTGAACGTAGCATTTGACCGACGTCGTCAAAAGTTACATGAACTCGCAAAAAAGCTTTTGGCAGAAACTCCAACCTCCTGGGTGGACATCCTGGCGGTGTGAGGGAGTTTGACTAAACACGATGAACTGCGCCTTTGTGCGCTTGTTTTTGTAACGTCCTCTCTGATGCTCATATCAGAGTTAAGTTAAGGACACAGAAAACAGCAGCTGAATATGACGATTAATCTTGAGTCTGGACTCAAAATGGGTTTGCCCTCAGTCCATTTTGTCATATCAGGATGGACTTAGATACTCATGAGAAACTGCTGGCTATTACATGTCAACGTCTGCCTCCTTATGCCCATGGATTCTTGCATTTTGGTGCTGAATACCTGCGCCTGTGTCTATCGAACACTAAAGGATGCTATCAAGGCCCAACCTAGACGTGTGTAGAGTTTGCACTTCACGTTGGACTGTGGGAGGAACCACAGATCACGGAGGAAACCCAGGCAAGAAATTTGTGAACAGGGACGAAAAAACCCATCTCTCAGTCAGTATTTAGATACAGTATTACGTGCATCCTTGTAGCTCTCTCGTCTGTTCTCTCTTTGGAATAAAACCCTCTACCTGCATCCTGTTTGTCACCCGGAGCACTTTCAAAGTCCCGCCTCTGCTTCCTCTCCATACTTCCCACCCGCCACTCAACTAGGTCAGCTGTCTCTCACAAGTGCTTGAAGCTCCTGCGGAGGAACCGATCGGTTCCATGTGACCGCTCGACCGGTAGCCATGTAGCACCAACACTGCAGGTGTGTCAGTTGTATGCCAGCCTTATTTTTTTATTTATTTTTTGTCAATGAATGTCTCATGTTTGTGGTGCTGATGATCATTTCTGCAGCAGCAGCGACTACTGCGTTTTTGGGAGGAACAATGTGAAACCAACAATGCAGAAATGATAGATTTGAATAAAGAACTAAAATTAATCTGATGCCGTCTCCGTTTTGTCTTCTTTCCATTTCGATCTTTGCATCATGTGTCAAAGATACCGTCCTTCCATGAACCACAGCTGAATCCTCTCACTCTACGTGTCAGTGGTGTACAGTGGATGGTATTGTGTGCAATCATCCACAGTGTCAACAGAGCAGGGTGTGAAATTAGATAACTCTCACAACATTGGGTCCTTTGAGGTCTTCTTTTAATGAAACGCTCAGATCTTTACCTCAGCATGTACCTGAGCACTGTTGGGTGTGACTTTAGAGTTGTGTTGTTGAATGGAACAAAACCTTGCCAGCATGTCACTCCTACATACGGCTTTACATGGTACCTGAGGAGCCTGCGGCCTATCCCAGCATGCATTAGCAATGAATGTTTGGTCCACTACAGGACCAACATGAATAAAGGAAGTTTATTTTTGTATTTTCACACTGAGAGCAACTTGGTGAGCTGCCCTTAAAGGCGGAATGAGAGGCTCCAAATCTCATCTTAAACTATGGTTGTTTCTTTAATGTATTTGTGATTCTTACTGTGTTTTTGGTATCGTAGCAAAGAGTTAACAAACACTATCTAACTAGCAAAGGTTCTACTGTATTTTGAGTTAAATAAAAAATAAAAAAAACAATCTGATGGATGCAGCTTATCTGAAAGACTTGCTTTTGTAGAGCGCTTCCTGTCATAACTGCGTCATTTTAAGGGCTGTACAGTATCCACATTTTGTGCTTGCCAAGAATAGTGTTTACAAACTATAATTGGATCAAAATTGCGGCGAAATCTGTTTGGCAGGCAACCATGATTCAGTCTTTGGGCCAAGTTCCCTCTTCCGCTCCTCACTAAGCTGAATATCTTACTATACTGTAAATATCATTATTCCACCAGACCAAATAATAGTCAAGATGTACAACCTCTTGCTTACCTAGTGTACTTACCTCCTTACTTGACATTGTTCACAAAGGGTAACTTTATCTTGTTGTTGTGCCAGACGTGCCCATGTCTTTTGGTCCGAGATGATGGTCCTCTGGTGCAACAAGTAGTGGTTCTGAAGGCCGTATATAAAGCCTCTATAGGAAATTGTGTTCAAATGGCAGAACTTTGCATTAGATTGCATGTTTTGGGTGGGCTGTGAATTCAGTTTCCATTTGTCCTCTGCAGACATTGATATTCAGATGATGTGTACTGTAAGTGTAGGCAGAGAGTCAGCATAGAGGAGGTGTGTGGGTAAGGGGATGGAATCAAACTGAGTCTTCAGGGAGTGTTGCTGGCCTATTTCATCTCAACAAGGTGCAGTATCTTGGCACAAAACACAAGCAGCAGGTAAACCCGGACAAGAATTATTTTTTTTAGCACAGAGCGGGTAAAAGCATTTGTATTCTGACTTGTTAATGTGTGACAAATCTGTGTCATTACAAAAGAAGTGTGTGCCTCCTCTGTCGTCACCACAACAAAAATATATTGTGCCTCATGTGCAACTTTGTGGTCAATAACAATACAGTTGGCCTTTAAAAGCAACAAAACACCCCTGAAGTAGGGCAAACAGCTGGGGAATTGGCCAGGCTTTTCTTTTTTGTATTGAACATTTTCCAAGTGGTACAGTACATTTCATTTAAACTATAATAACAAGCATGTTATTATATTTGCCATGTAATAACATCAAATCACACAATGCTATCTACTGTGTATGGCCACATGTTTCGTTGTGTTTCTGTATAAATGAAAAGGTTGTCAGTCATCACCCAGAGACCCACACAGTGACTCACTTCCACCCAGAACACCAGCTCAGTATGAAGCATGGCTTTGTGTTTGGGCTCCCGCTCTCTGCCTCTACAGACCCACCTACAGCCATATTTCTTCTGTAGCCGATGTGTCATTTGACCTGGAGGCAAAACAATGTTGGTCCCTGTTCGATTAGAAACTCCTGATGACCCTTATTTCTTTCAGAGTTGCAGAAATTCTTTCTAGCACTATAGCGCTGGCTGATGTTGTCTTTGCCAATACTTAAAAGTTCCCAGCTGAAATATTTTGTGCTGATATCCAACATTCTTAAATTTGGTTTAATTCTTATTCTGCGTTGAGAGGCCATTATAATAAAAAGCATCATGCAACTCCAAAAACCTGCAAGCAGACCAACTGCTCTTTTGACTAAAGGATATTGTTTTTGACTTGAAATGGAGACTAAATATAGAAAATGCAATTGAATCCAATGAGTAATTAGTGAGTATGAGTAATTAACATTTAGAACAGTTGAAGTTCCATTAAAGCAATTGAATCTCTGGGAATTTGGGACCAGCAGAAAACCAAAACACATTATTCAACTTTTTATCTCCCCCAGGGGATTATGTATTCAGTTGTGAGTGTGTGCGTGTGTGTGTGTATGTATTTGGAGTTGCCCTTTGGAGTTGCCCGAAACCAAGATCCGTAGGCATCTTCCGTAGGCCTTGTGTGAAATGCACTGCATCCCACAAAGGTTTGTCCTGAATGGGCAAATGCGTCAGAGTCCGGAGGAAATCCCAACAGAACAATAATACTGGGACTGAGCAAGAATTTCTTACTACCATGAAGGCGTATAGCTCTGTACTCAGAGGGGGTGCATTTGCATCGGACAAACCAAGGAATTAGTCTGCAGACGACAGTTTGTATTGTTTGTGCCGTGGAGAAGTAATGTACAAGATGTCCTCGCGATGACGGAGGGGGCATGGAGTCAGCGTAATGCTGACTTCGGTTAATAATTAGGGACAGACATATTCCATGGGAGCGTCCGTGGTTGTGGTCAGTGGAACATGTACCAATGATTTATTTGTATAGAAAGTACATCCCATGGTGTAGAACAGTACAAACGGATGACCGGAAAAAAACAAAAAAAACGGAAGAACACAAAAAGCAGAGAACGGGTCGGGGGGAGCTTCTCCTGATTGCCGAGTTGTTTTTGTTCCTTACGTCAGAGGCCCTCGACTTCCTCCCGCTGTATCTCACACTCCGTTATCATGTCTGTTTGTTTGGATTGCTCTCCTTCCGTTTGTCTAATTGCGTTACAACAGAGAAGGAAAGAGACACACTCGGAGGGTGTTGCCAAACTGTTCCAGACAGGAACATCTGCACATCACAACAATATTAAAAAGACGCTGGTTTTACAGATTGCCATGTGCCTTTTTTTTTTTTTTTGTTTTTTTGAAGAGGATGTCAAATATAGCAATGTTCCCTCATGATCATGACTCACAAGGAGCTGCAGCAGCAGTGGTGCGAGTAGAATAAGTAAACTCTGTAATATTTCAATGATGGCAAGACTTGGCTCTTTAAAGCAGCATTCCCATTTTACAGCTAAAGAGTTCGCTAAAATATCTCTGTAACATGTGAGGCGAGGAAAAGGCAATGCAGCAACAGAATCTCGTTTCATGATTTGATCCATGCCAGTGATGCTGAACTTGGGCACCAAAGTTGAAAAAGCAAATTTTCTTTGCCACCAGAAAGGGAAAGTTTTATTCGCCCCTTCACTCGCAGAGATTAAAAAGTGAACGGGAGGTGAATATTCGCTAATGTTAATTTTACCGTGATGATTCAAAGTGGTTTTGTGGGTTGCTTACGGCCACAGCAGATAGCTGTTTTTAGCGTAAAAGCTAAAAAAAAAAAAAATACCCCACAGGATGCTACCTGCTCAGGTATTTCCCTTGGTAAAGTGTTGCCTTTGCAGCTTGTTGCTGCTGCCCCCTGTGGACAAAAATAAACGGACTAAACAATGCAGGATGAAGTGAGGAGAATGTGACTCTGCATGTGTATGCATCATGGGTCCTCTCGTGTTCGTGCACGAGGTACAGTATATCCCAGACGCTGGTATGTGATGTCTAAGTCAGTAGCTATCATGTCTTTGCCACTTCCAAGGGGAGTGATTCATCCACAGGCAGCACTCCGACAGTCTGCTGGGCTGGTTTACTGTCCACTGTTTTTCTGCATCAGTCACCAATCCGCCCGTCCGTGTGTCTGTGTGGCTGAGGGAACAGGACGCTGTGTTTTGCTGAACTGGTGTTATGGGTGGAAGTCAAACACTGCGAGTAATTACTGAGAAAAACACACGCGCACCCGACTACAGTAACACTGATAAGCCTGTTTTATGGTATGTGTTGTTGCCCTTATGTCTGTCTCTCAGTCCACTGTATCTACAAAATATACTAATCATTTTATTTACTGTTTTTAATTGATTGAGCCCCGCTTTATCAGTAAAAAAAAAGAAATTGTTTTCTAAATTATTTACTGGTTATTTCTGTTCTAAACCATTATTTATTTAGTTTTGTCTCACCTGTATGAGACAAAAATGTGTTTCTTTTTTTACCTGTGCTTTTTTGAATTGAAACGAAAACAAACTTAAAAAGGTATGTTCCAAGCGTACGAAAATCACTCACTGAGGTTTAGCCAGCCCTGCAGGGTGACTGTCGAGCAGAGAGAGGGTTAAGATCTGAGAGGTGGATGTTTAAACTGTCATCAGGAAGACAGCTGGTGTACAGGTCCACTCCATAATGTGGGTTGTACGTAGTTTCTCTTTTTCCCAGGAGTCTAGAGGAGTTACTGAGTTTCACTGGAAGCTTTGCATGAAAATTAGAATGCACCAAATATCTATTCTCAGCAGCCTGCATATTTCTCAATTCTCAAACTTAACACTTGAGCATGTTGAATCATTGCAACAAGTATGATCACATTGGCTCCTGTGCAAGCTTCTCCGCCTGGTGGCTTGGAGCAACTTTAGCAGTGATTTGGAGTCGTGTTTTAGGCGACCTGAAGAATAGAAGCCCAACACTCTTTTTCCGTTTTCTTCGTCTTGTCTTTTCTGTTTCTTTAGCTGCTGCATGCTCCGCTCTGTTCACCAGGGAGCACACAGTTGGCCTTTTTTTTCGGCGACAACTTCCTAAAAAGCTAAAAAGAGCTGAAAAGCTCAGGAGAGTTGAG